CAGCTCAAGCTAAGAATCACATTAGCTTCCTAGGAACTTGAGGAAGCTAATCCAATCATTAGAACTCACTAAAAGCTACTCAAACTCCAAACACGATACCCTCTTGCAAGGTGAGTTTTCTGACTTTTGAACTCTTCAAACAAGCATCATTAATGGTTTATTTGTGAACGAAAAATCTAGATATCATTGCCCTAAAGCTAACCATGTCCATAGTTTTCATTTATGTTGCTTAAGCTTAGAGAATTTTATGATTGAAGTTTCTGAAATTTTTAGGGTTTATATTAGGGCCATTAAAATTCATGTTTGTCTTTGATCTATAATTTTATTGCTTTGCATTTCTGAAATTGTGATGAAATTTGCAACAAAATTCTTGTTTACATTTTTCATTTTTGTTGAGAATTGAATAAGATACAGAGGTTCAGGTTGGGCGTGAGGTTGAAGATGAAGTTGGCCTCAGGAAAGTGTTTACCATATATATTTATGGTTTGGTATTAATAAACGTATGTATAGCCACCTCAGTGGTAGAAGCGCGCGCCTGTGACTATAGGGACCTGGGTTCGAGCCCCAGTGGTACCTTTTTGGATTTTTTTTCATATTTTTCACATATTCTGACTTTTTTTGGCAGCGATGGGCCTCATCCCCTTGGGCCTTATGTTTTTTTAACTACTGACCCCCCTTGCTGGATATTCACACCCTGGCCCATTTTATTTTCTTTTTTTTTTATTTTTATTTATTTGTTTTCTTGAATATTTTATCTAATACTAAAAAAATAAGGAAAAAATATAAAAATATTAGATTTATATTTTGATATAGTTTATATATTTTTTACACAAAAGAAATTATTTTATTTAATCATACTTTATTTATTTTTCTAATTGGTTTGTAAATTTAATTAAAAACTAGGGTTTTATTTATTTTCTTAAAATATATTATTTTAAAACCAGAAAAAGACCAAAAATATTTTATAATACTATAAATTATTTTTAAGACAAAAATACCAAAAAATATTCTTCTTATAAACTTAATTTCTTTTTTTAATCAATTAATAGATTAGGGTTTTATTTAAATTCTTTTCCTAGTAAATTTAGGTTTTACTTTTTACTAATTTACTTAATTATTTTTCTTTTAGTTAATTAGGTTAAAACAAAACCCCTTTTCCCTAAAAAAATCCAAATAAAAGTCCATTTTCTTTCCATTTTACATTCTTGTATATTTATTCATTTTTGTATATTATTTATCCAAATTCAATATGGTTGTAATACATAATTAGGCTTTATTTTCTTGTAATCCCCAATTATAATTTGTACACCGCCTTCCCACAAGTATTCTAATAGCGTAGTAATTTTAAATTCCGCAATTTATCGCTTTATATACAAATACTAGTAATTAGGGTTTGTATGGAAAGACTAAAACCAATCAATTAGAAAACCCTAATCAAAGACAAAACCAAGCATGAAAAATAATGCACTTGCACACAAGAACCCCTAGGGTAAATCCACTTGGTTGCCTTACAAATGGCCATGTTACGCATGTGGAGTATCTTAGCAAAAATAAGCAAAATACAAGATCATAGTCCCTCGATGATGCTATCAATGTTGCCTTTCAAATGATCTTAGTCCTTAAAGAAAATGCTAAGATATCTTGCAACATTGCTAATCGTGGTTATACGATGACCCACGCCCGTCCCGTTTACATCCAAAGATAAGGTTACTTACCAAATCAATGGTAAGATAACAATGTCAAAGGATAGAGGCAATGAACATGAAAGACTTTTGAGTAGGTAGAATGTTCCTAGTTACTTGCTCAATTTCAAATCAAAACATCCTTTCTATTTTCAAAATAAGCACCTACACTTTCAAAACATCTTACAAACTTGAAAACATTTTTAAAAGATCAACATCTTTGTATATATTCTTATGAACGAGAATCATTACAAAGTTTGCCTAAATAATGGCCTCTTTACAAAATACTTTCAAAAACCACACAAAGCATAATTTCAAACAAAAGCAAGTGATCTAGCAAGTAACTAAGATCCCATGGAAAACCATGGATGAAAAGGGTGCTAATACCTTCCCTTTTCATAATCTACCCCCCTAACTCAAGAAATAATCTCAAAGGTCTTTCCTGTGCTTTTTCACCTTTCCTTTTGGATAAAAGAAAAGTCAGTGGCGACTCTTGCTAACCGCAACATTTGCGATCAAATGCAAAACACTCAAGTCAGTTCTCCCACCGTATCACAGAACTGGCGACTCTGCTGGGGAGAATACTAAAAGTGGGGTTACCTTAGGGTTATATCACATGTACTTGCTTTCTTTGTTTGACTTGTTTGCTTTACATTATGGTTCTTTGTTTGGGTTTGAATCCTCTACCCGGATTTGGGATACCTTATAGGTAAGTAGCAATACAGTGTGGAAACTACGCGGGGTATACCGACATGGTCTAAATAATAGCTACGTTAGTGTGACATATTTGTGGGTATCGGTAGCCCTTGAGTAGTCAAGGAGAATACGGGGCCGCTGAGTGATGTCATGAAGCACTAATGAACTTTTAGAACCTTTACTTGACCAACTTGGCCTTTAGGCCGTAGTGAGATGTTCGGCTTTGGTGCAGTCTGAATTTGGTAGATACTCGATACTACACTCATTGAGGTTTGGTTTTTTGGGATATTTCGGTCGTCATTAAAGAGGCTTGCACTGAAACAATGCCCAAAGAAACAAACCAGTGATATTGAGCTCCTTAGAACCTGGTTACTATTGCTATGACAGGTTTTAAGCCAACTAAACTTCAAGAGGGTACTTACCTATAAGACTCCATGCAAGCCTAAAACTAAGGATTTGTTTGCTTTGTTTGTATATATTTACTTGTACATAACATCATGAACATCATAACATCATACTCATACTCACTAACCATTTCAAGGATCTTGGGATTTATCTTTGTTCTGTTTTGTAGGAAATGGATCTATTCGCAGGAAAACCATTCAAGTCAATCTTGTAAGGATCCCTCCACAACTTAAAGAGCTAGCTTCAAGGATTCCTGAAAATTCTCCATTCACCGAAAGACATGGTCGCCTACTAAACTTGGTCGCCTCTAAAACTGATGAAGACATGATGAAGGTGCTCTTTCAGTTCTTTGATCCTTTACACCATTGCTTCACATTTCTCGATTATCAACTTGTGCCAACTTTGGAAGAATTCTCCCAACTCTTGAGGATTCCCATTCTTAATCAACTACCTTTCAACGGTACGGAAAGAGATCCAAATCTAGAAGATATTGCTCAAGCTCTACACTTGCAACCAGCTGATATCACAACTAATTGGGAAACGAGGAGTGGTGTCAAAGGTTTCCTAGCTAAATTCTTGCTCGAGAAAGCCCAAAACTGTTGGAATTCCTTGGACTTGCAAGATTTTGAGGAAATTGTGGCTCTCTTCATCTATGGGATGGTTTTATTTCCAAACCCTGACCAACTCATAAATGTGAACACTGTCAAAATCTTCATGTCCCGCAACCCGATGCCTACTTTGCTAGGGGACATCCTACATTCTTTTCACACTCGCACTATGAGGAAAAGAGGTATCCTTATGTGTTGTACTCCTCTTTTGGAAAGATGGTTTATTTCACATCTTCCCTAATCTGTATTGAAGAACGAGCAAGGTTCAAGGTGGTCATAAAGGTTGATGACGCTCAAACATTCAGACATCCATTGGTGTTCCCGATCTATAGAGAATGTTATCACCGTTGACGGTTGTGGAGAATTCCCTAATGTTCCTTTACTTGGTATTAGGGGAGGTATCACCTACAACCCCTGTTTAGCCTTAAGACAGTTTGGTTATGCCCTAAGGGATGGCCCACATGAGATTCTCATTCAAGGTTTGGTATTTTACTACGAGAACAACGATCAAGGTCATCACCAGAGATTCATATGAGCTTGGAGGATGTTGAACAAGGTAGATAGCAAGACATTGGGGCATAAGAACTCCATCCCTCTTGAGCCTTACCTCAAATGGGTACGAGCTCGTGCTCAAAATCTTATGATGCCTTACCCCTCCATTCTCCCTGTAATCATTGAGCTTGTTAAATAAGGAGATGTTCCATACACTATCCTACATCTTGACACACCCGCCTCTCTTGAAGACTTACAAAGAGATTAGATACAACTCAAGGGGGAGCGAGACACTTTCGAAGCCCAATTCTACACTAGCGAGAAGAAGGTTTTGGACCTCACTAAGCAACTTCATGAGGAGAGGACTCTAAATGCCTACATTGCACCTAAAAGGATGCGTACAACTTTTTCATCTTAGAATTTTTGTATTTCTTTGTAAGACCAAAAGAGGCATGATTTACTTACACTACAAGAAAATTAGTGTTTAACGACACAAAAATTGCGACAGTTATGTGATAACTGTCGTAATTGACATATAGAGACAGTGTTTACGACAGTTGACACCAACTGTCCCTAATATTTATTTTGCGACGGTATATTTAACCATCATAATATTATTATTACGACGGTAAAACAACCGTCGGCCCCCATTTAACACTTTTAACATTGATTTTTCACCAACAACTAGTCACGACGGTAAAATTAACCGTCCTAAAAGGCATATCACGACGGTAAAGCACCCGTCGCACCCTTAAACCTTTCACGACGGTAAAATTATCCGTCCTAAAATTCATTTCACGACGGTAAAACAACCGTCGCATCCAAAACCTTTAAAAATTTTCATGGGCGCGACGGTAAAACACCCGTCGCCGTAAAAAAGTTAAAAATCTCATAAAACATCCATTCTCTTTCTACTCCTGCGTTCAGAGAATCCGGAAGCACCGTGACGGCAGCGACTGGCGGCGATTCGTTGTTTGAAAAGATGGCTAGATGATCAAGAGCCAGTGATGATACTAGTTCAGTTGCACCAAAAACACACAGACTCACTCGCACAAGTCGTTTCTTCGCGTATCTCGTAATTCTCGATCTCATTTCTCAAATCCCTAACCTATCGTAAATGCGATTTGCATTCATAGTGGAAGTAAGTATCTCCTCTTTTCAGGACTATGTTTTTATTTGATTTTATATTGTAGATTGCAAATTCAAATGTCATATTCGTATATTATGTTCCATTATGCTTCTTTTCTCCTTTTGATCTCCCCTTTCTCTGTTTACAGGATCAGGCACCTGATATTGATGTGCTTCTTGCTGATGCTGATGGGACATTCCATTCAATCAAGGTCTGTTTTCGTTCTCTGAGTATTGTGGGGACTTGGTTTGCTCTGCAATAACTACCATTTTGGTCCCATTGAATGTGACAATAGAAGTTTCATCATAAGAATTAAGAACTACACCCTTTCCAGTTTTATTCGTTTTAATTCATAACTTACATAAACGTTCTGTTGCTTCAATTGCTCTTCAAACTCTCATGTTCATTGTGATCGCATGTTTTTCACTATTGGCAGGCTTTGAGCCAAAGTGATGGAAGATGGCGCTACAGTTCTGATAATCCAGAATCTAGTACCTATGCTGCTGGTAATGATTTATATGGAAATACGTTGAGATTCAAGTTCTCTCTATGTAATTTGTTTTTGCGCTTAAACTGGCAACACAGAACCCCTCGAACTAATGTTGTTTATCTATAAATTACAAATTAGGCTACTCATGTATTTTACAGGATTAGCACTTGAAGCATTGGCGGGAGTCATCTCATTAGCATCTTCTGAAATTGACCAGTCTAGGGTAATGTTCTGAGTCTTAAATTGATTAGTTGTTTTGCTTCAGTATTTTAAACTTAAAAGGATGTTTAGTTGAAAATTCTATATGTGGTCAGCAAATTCATGAGTTAATTAGTTGCATTATAGTAGTATGGTATGCAAGATTCTTGTCAAGTTTTTTTCATTAGAATATTTTTAAACCAATAAAACACCTGCTTGGGATTGTTAAATAAAAGTGAATACAAGTAGGGGCTAAGTGATGAAAAAATTAATGCTGAAAAATCTGATGCTAAATTTATTAGCACTTCATTTTTTATTGCAATTCATACATCATAGAAACATACCTTGTCTTGGGCCTCCTTGTATTTCTATCGGTATATTAAATTAGCTCTTTATTGTCAGGTAAATACGGTGAAAAGTGATATATTTAAGCTCTTTGACAGCATCCAGAAATATGGTATGGGTAAATTTGCTTTTACCTTGTTCAAGTTTGTAACTGTGAATGTTCATTTATAATTTTGGAATTCCTCACACATGTGTGGCAGCATGGTAACCTTTAATAGAGTTTTTATTTATAAATGGGACATTCTAAATATCTCCCTATGCTAGACCGCCAGTGCATTTTATGCTTTGTTACCTTTTTGTTCTTTATTTGTTTATTTTATGTGTGATTTTCTTTGTTTATGAGTTGACTGCTTTGCAAATTCACAATCACATTCATTGGAGAGGTATCCTTAGTTTCACTTTTCTGTTAAAAAAATATTAAATGTTTTTGTTTTAGCATTACTGAATTTTCATTTGGTGCTACAGATATTTCTTTGTAGGGTTCAATTCAGTTGGCTTCTTTTTAAGTTGCATATAATGGTTCTAGAAGATTAAAATATTTTTCATAATATCTTGATATTATCTTGAAGTATCATCTCATATGGTTTTTTTAATCTTGGAGTATATTAGATAATTTAATATTAGTGTCCATACTTCTTAGTTATTAACATGATTTGTTTCTTTATATACTTTGGATTTGGAGTCGTATATTAGTACAAGCATTAGTACTTATTATGTTTTCAGTTTTTTTGTATCCACAAATCATCAATCATATCAAATCATAGTTATGATTCAATCTTTATTATTGTTGATCAATCTATTTTTTGTGGCAATCTATTCTTAAAAAAAGAGGACATGTCTCCTTAAAATGCTTGAGTCTAGACAATCTATTTTTTGTGGCTATCAAATTCTATATATCTTGTAGGGCTGGGAATAGGAATAGTTGTTTTATGTTGCTTTAGTGTTACAATCTTGCAAGGTGTTTCTGACATAAAATTAAATGACTTAATCTGTTTGCTGGAAGATTTTTAGGCATTAATAAAACTTCTATGCCCCTCCCCAAAAGATTGATTTATTCCCCGAAAGTTTCTCTAATTTTTTGTTATTGGCCTTTGCCTTTTTTCATACAACATGCTTCTCCCTACTGATCTCCGATGAACATTTTATCTTTTTTCAGATGATGGAACATTTTATTTTGATGAGAAATTTGGCGGTGGTCGCGAGCATCAGGGTTCTCTTTCCACATCTTCTTCAGTTGTTCGAGGGATTACATCATTTGCTGCTGTAACTTCTGGAAAAATAGATGTATGTGAACTGTGAAGTGTAAGAGATTGCTCTCTATTTTTTTTATCTGCTTGAATTTCCTGTTCATGCTTTGGTTTTGCATTACCAGCTTCCAGGGGATAAAATATTGGGTTTAGCAAAATATTTTTTAGGCATTGGGCTTCCAGGAAGTGCCAAGGACTTCTTCAATCAAATTGAATCATTAGCTCTTCTGGAGAGCAAAAGGCAAGTGCTTTTCAGGAAAAGAATTTATAATTTTAGTACAGCTTTATAGTGGTGTCCTTTTTTCCCTCTTGTTTCTTCTTTGCACATATCTTGATATCTTAATAATATTCAGTAACAAAAATGCCTCGGATTTCTTGTTCTGGTGTAGGGTTCCCGTCCCATTAGTGTTGTCACTTCCTGCAACAGTTTATTCATTGTCCAAAAAAGATCAGCTCAAGGTAAGTAATGAAGTTAAAGTTTCTAAAGTCTTTATTTTGGGAGTGAAACGATTAGTTGATGGTTCACACTGGTTTTCTGTTTTGGCTCCTCAACCACCTCATAAGATTATGTTTTTATCACTTTTTCTGTCAAAAATATGTTGGTTGACTCAAATATATTAAAGATTACTGATACAGTTCTGAGTTCCAGTTAGGCTTTCTTTCACATGATGCTACCAGTTATTTTTGGTTCTGTCATTTTCAGTCTCCTTTTAAATTCTTCATCTCACACTCTCCTATGCGCCATTGTTTTTTATTCAGTTGTGGAGCTTAATAAACTCTTCCCCCATTTCTCACTTGTTGATTCTTATACATGCAATACTATATTAGCATCACATGAATCAGTTGGCTGCATTAATAAATCTTAAGTTTTTTTTAATGAATGTACAGCTTTTCACTTCGGAAAATGACAGATTTCTATTTCAAAATTAAACAGGTTACAGTGAATACAGTACTTGGTTCAGCCGCACCACCTCTTACAGTTAAGCTTGTCAGAGCTTTCCACGCTGATGCTAAACATTCTGCTGTTATCGAGGGCAACGTGAGTGATGAGTCAATGATTATTTTTAGAAGTGGATGTCGTAGAGTAATTTAGTTTATGGGATTCTTTATTATCTCTGGTCTGTTCTACTTTCAATTGTTTGAATATACCTCCCTTATTGTGTTCTACAGGAACTCCAGTACGATCAAAGTAGTGGACTTCATGTCATGGGCTTCCCAGATAATGCGGATGTGGGAACATATGTGTTTGTTTTTGAGGTATTATGTTTATTTAGTGATTATTTTTCCTTTCATTACACCAAGGTGTATTTATTTGTATCTGCTTGTTAGTTATAACGTTTTAAGCCTATTTTGTAGACAGCGCTTCATGATTCAGGTAGTGAAAATGATTATGCTATTGGAGGCCAAATTCACGTGCCGATATATGTCACTGGCATTGTTAAAGTTAGCAACGCAGAAATTGCAGTTCTTGGCAGTGATCTTGGAAGTGATGAAACCCAGAAAACGTAAGGTTTCAATTACTGGTTTGAAAACATCTCTGCAATTATATTCAGGATCAGTGTACTTAATCATCAATTAGTATGTCTCATTGTCATATGTTTGTCATTTTTATGCAGTGTTTGAAGTTCGAGCTGAACACATATATACATTTAAATCTTGGTTTTGCATTTTTGTTAGCAATTCTATTAATTATGTTTATTTCTTCACTTCAATTTAAATCTTTATTTTGTGTTTCTGTGTAGGCTAGATTTGGCTGGAACTGATGTTGTTTCACTCTCAGCTAACCATCTTCAAAAGTTGCGTTTTTCTTTTCAGTTGATAACGCCTCATGGCCATACCTTTAAGCCTCGCCAGGTTTGTAGTAGTTGCATTAGACCTTTTAAATGAATGTCATTTCATTGGTATCTTCTTTATTAAACATTTATTCTTCTTCAGGCATTGCTTAAGTTGAAGCATGAGACAAAGTATGAACACATCTTTGTGGTCAGAAATACCGGCAAGAAGTTCGAGATTATTCTCGTTAAGTATCTCCTATTTTATATTTCATTGTCTAGATTAACATGTCTATTCTCGAGTACTTATTGAGTTTTTTACAATTCATAATAAATAGCTATTACACGATGCTGAAGTCAGGATAATCTGTTTTAGTTCATAACTGCTACATTCTGAATATTAGAAATCAAGTGAACTTAAAGATGAAAAGGCATGTATGTTCTGGTTTTAATACAATGTGTCTTTTTGTAACAGAGGGTTTATTTATCTGTTAGGTTGTACCGTTCTAGATATGCACAATTAAATATGAATCAGCATTCCCTAATTGCATTTAAGCTGGACTGGGTTTGGGGGCTTATAATTTTGTCACCTGTATGTTTTGGCGAAGACTGTATGATCATTTCATTCTCATCTACTATTAATATATAGTTATTGTTCTGTTAAAATTCATAATTTTGTCTGGAGCACAGTACCGGCCGTTGTTTATACACTGAGACTTGCATTGATTGCTTAAGAGAAAATCATTAGGGCAGTACCAAGTTATAAAGTGAGGAGTAAATTGAGTGAACCCCTTCTTCTCAAGAAACTGAGCTGCACCCCTTCATGCATCTGAAACATGAAGTGTCTTCTGCACTAGAATGAAAATAATAATGTTTTTGTTGGATTTAAAGGGATATGAGCTGTTGAAAAATATAAGATTTCTATTTGATAAATCTATGATTTCTACCAACTATTGATATGCTGCTTTGGTTTTTGTTGCAGGTAACTTTTCTCTTCCACTTGCTTCGCTGCTCTTCAAACCCTCGTGCGTCTTTGAGGTATGATTTCATTCTTAAATTTGAGTGTGTCTTTACTATATCACTGTTTAATAGTGTTAGACTAAAGAATTTTATCTTATAAGAATTTTATCTTAAATTTGAGTGTGCCTTTACAAATACATTATTCTTATAAGCAATTGTAATAACCAAAATTGAAATGTTTGCAATCGCATTCATACGGGACCGCAAAAGCACTTTAAAATCCTAACACAGGCAATCATATTCTTAACGCAAAGGGACAAGGCGAGGACAAAGGAAATTGAACTCTTAATGCAAATGCAGAATTTTAGTGGAAGACAGGTATATTATTTTGACGCATTTAAAGTTAAATTTTATGAGTATTATTTTAAAGATTATTATTTTAATACCTTTTTTTAGAGATTGGAATCACCCGCTGATGGTAGACGTTCATCTGAGTCTAGCTACTGTATTGGAGATAATGGAACTTTAGGGGGGACAAATTAGACTTTGCTATGATCGAGATAATTAGATTGTGAACTTTCTCATGTATTTTTGGCATAATGATACTTATTATTATAAGATTAGGAATTGATATATTTTGGGTTTTTTGTACTACTTGACATGATTATGGAACTCGCATTTTACATGATTATGGAACACACATTTTTTTGGATATTATAATGCTTATTTGATGTTAAATATTTTTTGTTGAAATTATTTTTACTATATTACAAAGTGATAGAAAATAAAACAAAAAATAATACTATAAATAAATATATTAAAGAAATAATTTAAAGAAAAAAATAACACAAAAAAAAAACTATATTTTAAATTTTTTACATAGATAATAATTTAAATAAAAAATATATATAATAGAAAAATAAAAAAAAATCAAGACATAAACAAAAGTCATGGCAACAGTACCGAACCGTCGTAATCAACAATTAAAAATAATCAACAAAAGTCATGACGGTATCGAACCGTCGCCATAAACAATTTAATCAATTTCACAAGATATTCACGACAGTATCGAACCGTCGCCATCAATAATTAAAAGAAACTCAAAAGATAGTCACGACGGTATCAACCCGTCGTAAACTAGAACGACAGTTTTTGTAACCGTCGCGAAATAGGTTGGGGACACACACTTCTGCGACGGTAAAGCAACCGTCGTGGAAAGCAAATTGCGACGGTTTTAACCGTCGTAATCTACAAAAATACCTGTCGCAATCTGCCAATTTTCTTGTAGTGTTAAGCTTTGATTTATTAATATGACGTGTGTTCCTTTTTTGGTCTAAAGAAATTTTGAATCTCTAAGTTCCTTGAAATCATTGCATATGCATTTACCATTCATCATAACATAAGCAGGTTTCTTACGACAAGTCTCCTCATCTTTCTACTCTTTATTTCAGTAAGATGGATCTCGAGAAGACAGTGAAAGACCTCCAAGCAGAAAATGCTCAGTTTCAATAGATGTTCTTAACTCTAGCCAAAAGACAAGAAGAGTTGAAGACCTTGCTGGTTGAAGAGAAAAAGAAGAAAACAAAGAAAATAACCGGAGTTCTAAATATGGGAAGAAGATTCCAAGGACAAGCAAGAAGGACCCTAGACTTTGCAACGTCATCTAGTGAGAAAGACAATCAAGATGGGAAAGGCAAGGAAGAAATTGCCCAGCCAGATTCAGAAGAGGAAGAGGGAGAAGAAGATTATTCTGAAGAACAATATCCTCCGGATGACGACAAGTATAAGCATCTTGAAGAACGGTTAAGTGAAATGGAAATTCAAAAAGTGCCTGGACTGGACTTTGAGGAGTTGGGTTTAGTATCTAAGATTGTCATTCCTCCAAAATTCAAGACACCGGTGTTCGCCAAATACGACGGAGTTTCGTGTCCCAAAATGAATCTCCGGTCCTATGTGAGGAAAATACAGCCTCACACTACTGACAAGGATTTATGGGTACAGTTTTTTCAAAACAGCCTGTCCGTAACTCAACTTGATTGGTTTTATCAGCTAGAAAGAGCCAATGTTCATAATTGGGAAGATCTTGCCGCCGCCTTTTACAAACAATACCAATACAATGCAGACCTTGATCTCACCCGTACTCAACTCCAAAGTATGGCCATGGTTTCAAGTGAAGGCTTCAAAGACTACGCTAAAAAATGGAGGGACTTGGCAGGAAGAGTCCAGCCTCCCCTATCAGAAAGAGAGCTAGTAGACATGTTTGTGGGCACCTTGTCTGGTCCTTTCTTTAATCACTTAATTGGGAGTTCTTCGGCAGGTTTTACCGAATTGATATTGACTGGAGAAAGAGTGGAAGCTGGGATAAATAATGGGAAGATTCAAAAACAAGCATCCTCTGCTGCTGTAAGAAAGCCATTCATTAGAAAAAAAAGAAGTTGTTGCTGTATATTCTCAGAGAAGTCAAGATAGGGTTGAACATCGTCCAATGGTGGGGGTTGTCATGATTCCTAAACCTACACCTGCTCAACAAAGAAATAACCAGCCAAGAACAGAAAGACCAATTAGACAGTTCACCCGAATTAATATGACACTATCTCAAGTATTGCCACATTTGTTAAGATCCAATCTAGTGACTTTGAAAGAAGCCCCAAAGAATCCTAACACAACCTCTCCTCATTATCATCTTAATGCCCACTGTGCATACCATTCTGAAAATAAGGTACAAGACCTTCTTAAAGCCAAAGAGATTGAATTTGATGCGCCAGAAATTCCCAATGTCATCACTGCCCTATGCCCAAGCATGGCCATGATGTCAATGCCATTGAGGAAGATATGTTTGTTACTTTGGTTGATGAACTTGTGACCCCACTCCTGACTATAAAAAAGAACTTGTTAAATGTCAGTGTTTTCCTAGGCTATGATGAAAGCTGTCATTTCTGTTTATCCTCACCAACCAGCTGTCATTTGTTAAAAGCAGATGTTCCATGCCTAATAGATGACAAGGAGATTTTGTTCGAGAAGACTTCTATTCTAACTGTTTCTTATAATGATGTTTCCATAGTGACCATTTCCGCCAATTCTTCCAGGGTCTCCACCAAAAGACCTGTTAGAATTACATCAGTTCCTAAAGTAGCTTCGTTGATAATTACAATGTCTGGACCAATCCCATATTCGTCAGACAAAACCGTCCCATGGAATTATGGAGGTGATGTCTACTATCACGCTATCAAGCAAGATTGGCCAATTTCTGAAAATTCAAGTTCTGAGAAAGTTGACTCTGATATCAGTAACATCGTAGGGACTAGCAAGATAACCCGAAGTGGAAGGGTATTCCCTCCCAAAATTTCTCCTCCAAAAGCTATTTCTGGACCTATAATCATTCCTGTTATTGTTACTCCTCCAAAGGCTATTCCCAGTCCTGCAATCATCTCTGCTAATATCCTGTTGACAAAACTGTTGTAGTCCCTGTTATCACCCCTATTGACATTCCTACTGCCGAGTCAACCGAGACTCGAGGAAAAGGTATTCTGGTTGAGCCTGTCCGGACGAAGTCACAATCAGTAGCTATCCCTAAGACCTCCCTAAAAGAGATGGAGGAAATTCTAAAGATTATAAAAAGAAGCGACTACAACGTAGTCGAACAACTGGGGCGAACTCCATAAAAAATTTCCATGTTGGCTTTATTGTTATGTTCCGAGGCTCATGCAAAGGCCTTGCTAAAATTCCTTAAAACTGCCAATGTACCCCAAGAAACATTTTCCGATCAGTTCCAAGACTGCGTATCCAGCTTGACCGTAGATAATGGTTTAGGTTTTTCGGATGCTGATTTAACGCCAAATGGGAGGAGGCATAACGAGGAATTGCATGTCTCAGTCGAATGCAGGGGCACGACCTTGGTTCATGTTTTGGTTGATACATGTTCGTCTCTGAATATGTTGCCTAAAAAAGCTCTTTATAGGCTTGATTGTGAAGGATTGACATTGAAACCAAGCAACATAGTAGTGAGGGCCTTCGACGACTCAAAAAGGATGGTGCGTTAGGAAGTGGACATCCCCATAAAAGTTGGAACCCAAACATTTGATTCAACTTTTTATGTAATGGATATTCTCCCTTCATATTCCTGCTTATTAGGCCGACCGTGGATTCACAATGCTGGTGTCGTTACCTCTACGTTGCATCAAATGCTAAAATATCCAATTCAAGGGAAAATCATCACTGTTCATGGAGAAGAAGAGTATATGGTCAGTCATCTAAATTCCTTCAGATATGTGGAATTAGATGGTGAATTTATTGAAACCCCATTCCAGCACTTTGAAGAAGTCCCACAAACTATGGCAGTAACCAAGGTTATTTCCCAAGTACCAAAGATTACAAGGCCTCCGCTCATGATATCGTCTTTGAGAGATGCCAAGGCAGTGATAGAAGAAGGTGGGTGCACTATTTAGAGCCAACTCCCATATATCCCATACAAATCTGACAAATTTGGTTTGGGTGTCACTTCAGGAGCCCAAAAAGTTGTACGCCGTGCTCGTGCCAGAGGACCACCCTTGAAGACCAGCAACCACGAAGTCAACACAGTGGAGGATGATGAAGACAACTATAACTTGGAGGATTGGATTTTCCCAACTGTCAATGGACGACTCAGTAACTGGGAAGCTAGAGATTTTGTCCCAATCACTTTTATCCAACAGTAATTTATCTTTAAATTTTTTCGGATCTGTAATATTAGACAATTCAGACTCTTAAAACCTTGTGTCTTACCCGAGGCACAATGGTCCATTTGTAAGGGTTATCATCTCATTTTCATATGTCATCAATGAATCATGGACGTTTTTGCATACAAAACTTTGTGCTCATTATTTTTATTTTTACATTTCTTTCAAAGATAGCTATACTCTTACACACACTCACATTCAAAATGCAGATCTACATCCATTCGGGATCCCATGGGTAACGATTGTGCTATGGCCTTTTATGACTCTGAAAATATAATCTACCATACCGAAGACGAAGGTGAGGAAGATTGTGAAGTGCCAGGGGAACTAGCAAGGTTACTACACCAAGAAGAGATGACCATTCAGCCCCATGAAGAACCAGTGGATACAGTTAATCTAGGTACCTAAGAGGACAAGAAAGAAGTCAAGGTGGGTGCCAATCTGGAACCTAGTGTCAAGAAACGTCTGATTCAGTTGTTACACGATTATGTTGAGGTCCTTGCCTGGTCGTACGAAGACATGCCAGGACTTGATGCATATATCGTAGTACATTGTCTACCTACAAAAGAGGACTGTCCTTCGGTAAAACAAAAGGTATGTCGTATGGGACCAGACATGTCAGAGAAGATCAAAGCGGAAGTCATAAAACAATTCAACGCTTCTTTCTTGGCCGTCACTTCCTATCCACAATGGGTTGCCAATGTTGTTCCCATGCCTAAAAAGGACAGCACGGTACGAATGTGCGTGGACTACAGAGATTTGAATAGGGCAATCCCTAAGGATGATTTCCCACTTCCCCACATTGATATTTTGGTTGACAATACAGCA